CCACTCCATTCTGATGATTGTTGAATTGTTTGCTTGTCCAACTCATAATTGCTCTCCATGAATGTGGGATCGGAACTCGCATGATGAAGCATGTCCAGCTTTATCGGGACAAGTCGATCAATACCCAAAATAACCACCAAAATAATTCGAACGRACWCGCGAGAGATGTTGAGCTCTCTCTMATACTTGCCTGATGATTTTCAAGCAYCATATCCTTCACTTTTTCACTTTAGAAAAGGGTTCTTTCTGAATTGCATCCAAACTATTGGCCGATACATGCGATAATTTGATGTCTGGGTTAAAGTTGTAGCCCGATTTCGATAATATTTGGGCGTAAAACCTTGAGGRGAAAGTTTTGCTCTGATAACTTAAYTGATGTTTGATTTKTATACCGTAAAGRGAAAAAAGGGATTYAGAAGGCTGTTATATGGATAGTAGACGTGGTTTTCATCTGATTTCACCCCTTTTCACAGTATACGAGAGCAATGTTTGGGTAACCCCACATGCCAAATTTGATTGAAATTGTTACAGTAGTACCCAAACACCACTTATCTATTTCCTACCCGTTCTGAAAAAAATCTTTCTTACCATCTTATTTGTGATATATAAATTCCAAATACAGACGCCATATCCTTGTCAACAGAATTCTTCCACGCTTTGGAGCGGATTCATCGTGTTCATTCCACTCGGATGACTGTCGATTGGACTTCGAAGTGAAATAATGGAGAGATCATCCCAAAATGACGGACAAGTCGGGTTTATTACGCTTGAACAGCTCCAAACACCGCTTCGAATCATCAATCGKCGTGTCGAAAGAGTGCMCAYGGGGTAMCCATTTTGCACAGAGCTTTCTCATGCCCAAATWTTCTTGAATGGTTTGATGTWCAAATTCARTTGATATCATTAGKGTGTCTGCTATCTYSTACAACTTCCCTTTATGGTCACCCAAAACTATTTTGTGGACTTTTTTGACATTTTCGTCGGTAACAACCTCTTTTGGGTTTGAAGCTCATTTGAACACGTTTAAAATTAGCATAACAATTCTTGATGTTTGATTATCCTGGGGCAGCGTCCGAAAACTCGTCATCAAATTAAGCTTAAGCTTTAACTGTATTTTTCTACTTCAAAACGCAATATTTTATCAAAAAGGTCGCGAAATTTCAAAATYATAAGCTGAACCACTTAGTATGTGGTTTCGCAAATAAACAGCAATAGCAATAAATAGCACAAAAACATTTATACGTGRCCGTGGTATTATGCAAATATTTCGCAATAAATTTTATTACTTTTAGTCAAGTGCAGAGAAGTGTTGCGGCTATTTGGATGATTGAATGACAGAAAATATAAATTTCATTTGAATTATACATTAAAAACAACAAACAACAACACACTAAAAACATACGAAAAAAAGGCCTGAAAACCAAAGAATATTGGAAATTAATTGGAAAATCAATTTGAAAAATTGAATTTCCACAACGCGGCGCGAAAAAGTGGTGTCAAGCCGCAATTGAACTTAATTAAATTTTATATACGCGCAAACAAAGTGCAATATAAATTAGGCAGCGGCAATGATTCTGACACGGCCCGCAAGACCCCTGAACCCGCCTGGGCATAACCGCTGGCGAAGTGGGATTACACCATTTGTAGCTGTCGTCGGTGTGTTGGTGGTTGTGCTGATGTTGGGCAATGCAATTGCACTTCTGATAAAATACAAAAACAGCTACAACAACGCGGTTGCCAACGTTTTAAAYTTAGATAACGCGTCTAGCAGCAACAAAGTCAGCAGTCAGTTAGCCGGTACCGTTGAAATTGCAATGGTTACGAATGAGTTGGCAACAACAATTAACGCGAAAGAGGAGATGAACAACAATAAAAACAGCTACAATATCTACAGCCATGAGCAACAACAACTTTACGAAATTAACGCCGCAACTAAGCTTGCTGCCGACACTATTCCCACACTTCGTCAGAATAATRATAATAATAGCAATTTGCTGGCTGCTCTTGCCGTCACTCATCGTAAAAGCTTTGATGATGAAATTAATATACGCAATCAACGCTATGAATTGAATGACCACCCAGCAGATGAGCCGCCAAAAATGCCGTTGGCAGCGGGTGTATCTCTAACGACAGCAAATGAATCGGGCGCTACGGCGTTATCCAGTTTAATGGCAGCGAGACGCGAGGAAAGCGTCGGTGGAGAGTACACACCTTTGCAACAACAGGAAAAACAACCAGGCCGTGGAAGTTACTCAAATACCGAATTGCTGTTACATCGTCAAAAGCGTTATTTGATCTTTCCCGAAGGCAGCTCTTTTCAGATGGGTGCGTATTAGCATGATTATGATTAACTATATTCTATTTTATGATAACTTTTGCGTACTAATTGAAATTAATGAATACAGTGTGAAGGAATTTTCGTTGAAGATCAGGTGATATCTACAGAGACTTCTTTTTATGCAAAGCTCAAAAGAACCTACTCGACACCAACATTCAACAACTTTTAATCGATAGTGGCATTTGCATACTATCCCGCACAAAAACCACCAAGCTCAAATACTTTTCAAACTGAAGTTTTATTTTTAACTTTCCAAGAAATTTTCTGTGGCTGATCTTCCAACATAGACTTGGTTAACAGGCGTTTGTGGAGCCAGAAAACTTCTATAGTTGGATCTCAAGTAACGAAATACATCTTGAACCAATCTCAAAGTATTTAAACATTTAATATTTATACCAAAGATTGTACCATAGTTGATCAAAAAAGATAGATAGATTGATCAGCAGTCCTTTGTGAAACCAGAAATCTTCTGTAATTGGATCTCAAGTATCGAAAAACACTTTGAACAAACTCAACCAATCATTTTATTTTTATGCCGAGGATGGTACCATAGTTGATCCTAAAAGATAGATAGGTTCATCAGCAGTCCTTGGTGAAGAAAGACAACTTTTACAGTTGGATCTCAAGTAACGAAATACATCTTGAACCAATCTCAAAGTATTTAAACATTTAATAYTTATACCAAAGATTGTACCATAGTTGATCCTAAAAGATAGATAGATTGATCAGCAGTCCTTTGTGAAACCAGAAAACTTTTGTAATTACCATCTTATTTTTATTCCAAGAATAGCAGATCGGGCACATTAAGATACTGGTCGGARTACTCGTGGTTCTGAACACTCAGAGGTCATTCCATCTTTTACCATGTCTTTGGTTACACTTTATGCAAAGATCAGCAAGTGCTTTCTTTCTAGATTACTTTGGACCTTTTAGATTATTCATAGACCGCGTACTTCCGAAACAGTTGTCTCATATGGAATATTTCGTTTTTTTTTTTTTTGCTCACAGTTTGCTAACTATATATAAACCACAATATTCACTATCACTAAACGCAAATATCATGTTTATTTACTTGTCTCAGTTTTTGATCTCATCATCGGAATGGTTGACTATACGAGTTATCTGATTTTGGGCATCACTTGCGCCGTCGCCTGGGAACTGCCGAGTAAACCGCCCAGTGAATTAATCGAAGAATTACATGACAAAGTAACGGAAGGCATTTACCCACCGAGTGGAACGAAACCAGCAACAGAGGCAACAGCGATGCGACGCAATGACAGCACCGTGGTCAGCGATGGAATGGCGATCAGTAAATATGGCGTCGACGCTGAGAGCATCAAATATGTGGATAATTCAAATGTGCCAGCATACTACGATAACTTGCTACAGAGGCCGATAGACACAGCAGGATTGCGACAACCAGCACAAACGCACGTGTTGCCACCTTTTAATGCGGCACATAGAACCAAACTCTTTCCTGTGCCCGCTACCAGTTACAGTGTCTACCATAAAGAGATGCCTGGCACCCGTGGTGGCATTGCCAACGGTGCTTATAGGCCGATAAACTATTACGCCAACATACAAAGTGACTATAAAAACAGCAACGGCAACAACAAGTATTACAACCCTACGCACAAATACGGTTTTGCTGATAAAATTGCGAAGCCGAGTTATTATGGTGTCAGCGACAGCTACAACAAAAACCCCTTTGGCAATACAGCTGAGGGTGATTCAACAGATAAACTTCCAGTGAATGCCGCCAATCGGTGGCAGCAGCACCAGCAGCCACAGTACAAAAAGTGGCAATCATGGCAGGATTATGACAGCAACTGGCAGTCATATCAGCAGCCACAGCAAAAGCATGCGAAATGGGCACAACAGCAACAACAATGGCAAAAGCAGCAGCAAAAATGGTCAGCTCAGTCGAAAATTCTGCCGAAGGAGAATTGGTGGTCGCGCAACAAGCAACAAGTCACGGACAGTTGGCGTATAGAGCAAGCCGATAGCTTGCCTAACCGGCTGCGGTGAGTGTTAGCGAAAGTATAAAATATAAACTAATTAAACTCTAGTTTCTTTGTAAGGCTTATGCACTTCCATTAAACATAACGGTACTAATGAGAATTTACATCGAACAAAATTAGTTAGCTAGCTATGGTCGAGCGCCTAATGGTTACAAAACCCCTCGAGTGTTCCTTAAATTATTCGCAATAAGTCTGAAACAGCTTCGATCTCAAAATCTCCYCATGAAATCTCTATGGAATTTGATATTACTGTGATCAAAAAGTAAGGTGMATTTGTTCATAGGTTAGGTTAGGTTAATCTGGTAGGCCAATAAGCACGCATAGAACAGTTTGGTTCTTTGCATTTCTTGCTAAGTCCAACAAAAGTAGTCGCCTTTATGATGCCTACGCTTGCTGGGAATTTTAAAAGACTCTGCGGTTTCACCGTCGATATCTCCTCCAGGGTATCATACTGTGGGTTGSCCCAGATGCCTATAGCGTAGTAGTGCGAAACAARTGCACAAGTRATGCTCCATTGWTTCTCTGGAGCCCTGTCTCTAGGCATTTCCTGTAGTCCTCTCGACATGTCAGCCCCATTTTGCGGGCGTATGTCGCCACCAAACAGTGACCAGTTAGTATTCCCATCATGTTTCTACAGCTCCTTGTATCGAKTGCCAATAGGAATTTTTCCTAMATGCGATCTACCGTTTTGCACATGACTTTTGCAGTTTTGTACCGAAGTAGCYCGTTCCATCGTGTTTTGATTTTCCTTCCATTGGACTTCGTAATGCTTATCAYATTTTCGGAYSTTAGCCGTACATCGTTCTCGGCAATTTCGTCCACTATTTCATTGCCCTCGATATCTCTGTGGTCTAGCACCTTGTAGAAGTTAGGTTACTTGCTTCTGGCAACACTTTCTACTGCCGTCCWGCTTCCCAAGACACTTTTGACCGAAATGCAATACGAGGTTACTGCCGTGAGTGCTGCTTRGCTGTATACGTAGATGTTAACTTATAAGGTTGCCTTACGCCTAACTCTTGATAGTATATTCCMGCAACAACTCCATCGTCRATTTTCGAGGCGTCAGTATAGATATTTAGAGCGTTGCGCGCAGCTAACGTACCTTTASGCCATCCATCTTTTTCTATGTTTACTTTGAATCTCCTTTCCCAGTTCAAAAGTGGGGTCAAGTARYCGGTTTTTGCCCAACCGCCACYACCTACGGAGCATTKCYCRAAGGTTCTATATCTAAATYCTCCTKCASCCAGTAGTGGTCTCTCCGATTTTWCTGTGCAGTTTTCAGCGAAGAGGTCTWTATGTGGAAGGTTTAGWACCAGTTCAASAGCCGCCGTTGGAGTTGTTCTTAAAACTCCCGCTGTGTGTTGCGCAACTAGCCTCTGAAACYTTTCCAWTGGCTTCCGGTAGGTAGATTTGCGTAGACCTGTTCACCCCAAGATACATGATGCGGTCTTTGGGAGAGGAATTTGTTTATAAAATGTAAATTCTTTATTTGTCCTACTAAATCAATGTTATTCCAATTAAATGGTTCCAATATTTCCTTTATTAATCTCGAAGAATTTTTCTCATTTCTTAACTTAATCATGTGGTCTTGCTGTTCAAGTGAGATTATTCGTGCTCTTACAATTTACCTAACCTACTTCCAAAAGTCAAAACTTAACCGACAAACATTGTATACCTCTCTCTTAACCTAAAATTCGACTTACTTACCAAAAAAAAACTTGAGTCTTTCGGCACATCATTGAGCGCTGATGCCGAAGTCATACAAACTTTTATAGAAATCATATTTTTATATAGTCTTTAGAGATCGACATTCCGTATTTAATATCGGAACAATTGTATAACCCAGTTTCTTCCTTTTACATCACTTTTTTCTAAGACACTTTACTGCATATGTTCTCGATTCATCTGATCCCCGATTCGATTSATCCTCAATGGCTCATCCTGATTATTATATAAAATATTTTATTCTATGCTTTTAGTAATCTCATTCGTATATATAGGCTCTATAACTTTATCGGACAAAAACTGTCGTTATTTCTCACAGCATGACTTCTGCTCCAATACCAACTCGTCCACCTGTGCTGACCTACGCACCGCCTAGTACCGAACCAAAACAATCGGAAGCTACAATCAGCTCGAATGCCGAAACACTGGAAGGTCGCAGCTTTSATGGAGCTCAACGCCGCCTCCTCACAACACACCCAAAAGCCAGAGTTTACCCAGTTTTCGGACGTCGACGTCGTAGGCGACGCAGCATGCCTGCAGAATTAGATGACTTCGAGCATAAGCTRGAGCGCATACACTTGCGTGAGCAACTCCGTACGCGGCAAAAGCTTTATGGCAAAATTGAGAAACTCTATGAAACGTGAGTGGATGGAAAACCATTTTTTCTCTATGAAATTTTTTTCGAAACATTTTTTCTAAAACTTCCAAGCGAACATGACCACTTCATGTTGCAATATGCAGAAGTTGCATTTTTCTTTCTCCTTTTAACATCGCTATCATTTTTCTTTACAGCCGCGGCATGAACGGCAGCGCTTGTGTGTTGCGTGCGCTTTGCGAAACTGGACAGCAGCAACAAAGCTATGGAGAGGGCGCAGCGGAACCACAAAGTTTCATCACAGAACTATTGCGTGCCATTTTCGTGTTGCCCACAACTGGTGCAAGTGCAGGAGTTAGTGGCGGCACAGTCAACTTCGAAGAGCCCGCACTACATCCGACCGATTTACACATCATCGATCGCCCATACAGGGAGGCGCTGGCGTATCGCGGCAGCTGTTCGCAACTTTTTGCCATGTGTGAGCACAGCATCTGGGAGTGAAGTGGCAGCATAATAAATGATGAAAAACAAATATGGAGATGTGAAATACAAAAATAAAAAAAAATATTACCAAACTGTCAAACTGTGGAGTTTCTTTAACTAGAATATTTTTCGCTATGCAAACGAATTTTTTGCGTTACTTTTATTTCTGGTCTGGCGTTTTCTCTGCTGTTCCTCTTTTGATGTAATAAATATCATCCGATTTTTTTTTTTTTTTTTTTTTTTTTTTTTTTTTTTTTTTTTTTTTTTTTT